GAAACCAGTTGTGTTCTTATTACCCCACCCACTGGACTAAAGGTGCAGTGCAGTTCTTCTCTCTGTGAACTAAATCCAACTCCTGGGCCTTTTCAGAGTGATGGGAACATCTGGGTGAAATACTGTATTACCTGGGATTCCTGTTATCCAGGTAAAACAAATCCTGGGTCTTTAACCCCTCCAGGGTTTCAACAGAAAAGGATCTGAAGTGAATAAATTTAATTTAATTTGAATGTTTATTAACCTTTTTTTTTTACGTTAAATTAATTTGTTTGTGCACTCTATAGATTTCCATCAGTTTCTGAGAAAGAACTGAAGGATTGTGAGAGCAAGATAACGTTATAGGTGGTGGGTGTTGGTGTGATGTTTTCAATTTAGCCACAAAGAGGAAACACTGTCAGTACTTTTAGATCTGCAGCAGAGAAACGTCTCTCAGTGTTCAGCAGCTGATAGAAGGACAGGAGATGTTGGGTCTGAAACTGATTCTCATCGTTGTTCTTCAGTTTGAAGGTAAAGATCTGTTTTATTTAAAATCGAGACAAATTAAAGGACACTCCTGTTTAATGAGATATTTTATGTAGATATGAGAATTAATATCTGGGATTTACAGAAATTAATTAATGCCGCATGTACTACTAAATCATATTTTAACCACATTTATGAAACACATTCAGTAAATGTAAATTTGACATTTTCTTTTTTTTCAATGAAACTTTTAACCTGACAGGGAGTAAAATGTTTATTATTGTTGACATGAAATGGGTTAAACGGTTATTTTAAAATGTTACATACATCATAATGTTCTAACAATAAAGCACACTTTATGCCACATCAATAAATGACACATTTCTAACTTAAGCTGTATGATTGTGTTCATAAAAAATGAAGTGGGTAAAAACTTAATGTGTTTTAGTCTCTGCTGCAGGAACCAGTGGAGGACAACCAGACTATCTCATTTACGGATCAGGAGAAAATATAATTCTGCCTTGTAAAAGTCCTCCAACTTCTCGCTCATGCTCCTGGCTTTACATGAACACACCCCCTAATCGGAATGAAGGGAAAGGTGTTCCGATATTACCTGGACCTACCAGATTTTTTGTACAGAGAGATTGCTCCCTGGTCATTAAAGACCTCACTGCTGAGGATGCTGGATATTACACCTGTCGACCTGCTTCAGAATCCAAACATGATCATTGGTCTCTTCTGACCGTTCTGACCAGTGAGTATTTAAACTTGATTTGTTGCCGTCAGACTCTTTCCCTCTAATTAACATGACTTTTTCTCCCATACTAAACTGAAATACAATTTAAAAATCAGTTAACTTTTTTTTTCCCACTGGCCCTGATCCTCTTCCGTAGGAAAAGGCATAAATATTCATCATAAAAATAGATCTCCCATTTAATTTGTTTGTTTAACTTAAAGGGGAGCACTGCATTTACATAAAAAGAAGACATAATAATCCATGAGATTAAAACAGACTGAATTTACCAACAGCTATTTTTTCATCTGTAGTCCCCTGGCTATGATGTTAGAAAAGAAAATATTTTCAAGACTTTATGTAGAAATTCTCTCATGCTGAAAAGTATTTATTTGCAAGTACAACCTCAGAATTTTGCATATATTTTAATGCTGTTTAATGACATTGGGAGTTTAGAACATTTGGCCAAAAAATAAATCTTCTAAACTGTTTGAAAAAATGAGTTTGCTGATTTTAAATCATGAAATTCTGACAGTAAATTCCAGATCCTCTATTATTGAGCTTTTAGATTTAGATTTATAAGGTCTAGATATTTAACAGAGTGTATCTACATGTGGAATCTATTTCTAGATTGTTTTATAAAATGCTGTGGACTGTTTTGAGTTATAGTTTGTTAGAGCGGAGGAATACGGTGTAGTGATGTGAGCAGGAGCGGCAGCTTTGTGATGCAGACAGTTACTGATGGTTCACATAACCTGGATGACTGAAAATAGCCTTCATTTCATATTAATAATTTCATTATTGCTACAGAGTATTAAATAGGCCAACAAAAATGCAGATTAGCAAATTGCGGTCCTCATTTCCTCGCTTAAAAAAAAAAAAAACTCTGTTCAAAAGGTGTCTGAGTAGCACACAGCAATAATCTAAAATA